TGCACCTGGCATTGCGACCAACGCAAAGGCAAGATTTCCGTGAGAAGAGCGAGATTTCGTGAGCCGCCAACCGGAGGGAGTTCAGGTCCCCGCGTCTTCCCAGGAGGTCACCGGGACGGGCTCACACTCACTGTCCCATGAAGATGTACTGTTGACAAAACGTTCCCACGGTGACTACGTTATCGTCATCTGGAATGTGGATGTGACCTCCTGCCCCTTTGCATCCGGCCTGAGCTCCTGGTCTGAGTGTGGCCTGTGGGGAGCGCACCCAACACGACACGTAATAAACACGCGAAGGAACGAACCGGACGTTGGGGATGGGAGCAGAGAGCACACCTCAGTGGCCGGGTCGTGTTCAGATGGAGGATGTGGGAAGGAGCTTTTAATGAGGGTGTAAGTGTGCAGCGATGAGACAAGACCCCACCCCCAGGTCCCTGCTCCCCGTGAAACAAAATATCCAAGATACTGGTGACGAAGCGGTGACCACGGGGAGAGAGGAAGTGTAGTGACGCGACCAGAGCAAGCCTAGAGGGACGCACAGGCGCTGATGACAGGACAGAGGGAGCCCCCCAGGGAGAGAGGCAGCGGGTCTTGGAGGATGAACAGGAGTACACATCCAGGGGCCTCGGGGAGGGTCTGAAGCCAGGACCCCGCAGCTGAGGGGTGCAGGCCCACCCAGCAGGCAGTGAGGCTGAGGCTCTGGGGAGCAGGTGGGAGACGTCTCCACGGATGAGTTTGAGCCTCACCCTGAAGACGTCAGCAGAACGCAGCCCAATGGATGTCCTGTCTGGATCCCTCCAGGTGCCCAGGAACCACACAGACGAGGCCCCACCTACGGCAGAGGTGGGCATGAGCCTGTATGGAAAGGTTTTCCCTGCAGAGAATCTGGGGGTGTCCACGATGTTGCACAAAATTCCTACCCACCGTTTCTTGGAGAAGATGGATTTGGTCTGCGGGTTCCAGCTGGGAGGTGACTCCGAGCCCCTTCTCTCTAACTGCACACCTGTCTCCTCCCGTGTTGGCTCTGAAGTCAGACACACCTGGGTGTGGGTAACACCGGTCGGAGTCCGTCACCGGAGCCCGGCGTCCCCATGGTGTGCCGGGCGGACAGAGGCACACGTGAGAGGGAAAGAGCCTCCCAGGCAGGAGACTACGTGTGGAATAGAATTTCCGCTAAGTCCTCGCTGTCAAGGAACAGCTCGTTGATTCTTTAATATTTACATTAGTTGATTGCATGAAGTTATACTTTTTTAATTAACGGAATGTTTAAACAAAATATTTGATGTAGCAAGACTGTGTGAACATGGCCATGTCCATACGTGGCACAGACTTCCCGGGGGGTGTCATTTCCAACAAAAAAAAGCAGCCCTTCTCTGTATTTATCCAGAGATGCACACAGTGGTGAGCAGACGTGTCCCTGCCCACGGACACGCCCAGCAGGTGTGTGACAGGAAGTGCACCCAGGATGGCACAGACTCTGACCTGATGTGTGCCAGCCGTGTGCACGTGGGCTGGAAAGAGAGAAGAGGTCACAGGAGGCTCAGATGTCACAGGAGGCTCAGATGTCACGGAGAAAGCAGCTGAGCCCTACAGCTGGGGGGCTGCCGCCGACCCCGGATGGGACCTGGCTGGGAGGAGAGTGCCCTTGAGGTCGCGCCAGCGTGGGAGGAGGGCACACATGGGTCCCCGTTCCCGCTGGAAGCAGGGACATGGAGCAGGGGGCACACAGGAAGAGATCGGGGATTTGCGGCACAAGAGAGCCAGGTGGGCGAGGCCCCATCTGCAGAGAGTTAGGAGTGATGACCAGCCTGAGTCCTGGGAGAACACGGCTCACATCAGGGTTGGTAACTGAGCCATCTGTCTCCACAGCAAAGACAAAACTAGCCCCCAAGGAGTGGCGAAAGGCACAGCGCATCCTTACAAAAGCCCGTAGGTTTACGAGTTTAGCCCCGGAACGAGAATGACTATGCTTCACAAACTGATTAGAGATCCCTGTGTACCCTGGTCCCTTCACAGGGGAACCCTCACACCCACATACACATGTGCACACACACACAAATAGTTATAGTTTGCCGTCCATGCCACACTCCTATGTACCAGCACAAGGACACAGACCTTGTTTTTTCACAGACCACTTGTCGTCCCTATGGTTCTGGGGAGCAGGTGACATACGCCCAGGTGACCATCAGGAACGGAGTTCGTATTAAAATATCGCTGAGAGGACCTTATACATGACTGACCACAGGGGAAGGAAGGGAGCTGTGGCTTCCCTCAGAATGAGCAGGGCCACGGACAGTCCACATGTGCAATTATTTGGCCACGTGACACGTGACTTTAACATTGTCAAAATTCATTACGACTTTGCAAATCAAGTCAAAGTGCCCGAGCCTGAAAGAATGGTGCCGTGTTGTGAGGTTTGTGGCGGCCGTAGGCAAAATCCTACACGGAACTGTCAGGCGTGTTATCGCTGCAGCCCAGTCGCCGTGACTGTCCAGCTGCGGGTGTCGGCCCAGCGGAGCCCCGTCTTGGGGAAAGCGTCTCTGAAGCTCACGTGACCAGGGCTGTGTTTTCGCCGCTCCATGGGGACACAGACGGACTGGCTCACCAGCATCTACACCGAAAAGCAAGCTGCAGAACCTCCTAACGCAGGTCACAGCACGAAGAGACATGTGAAGTCCAACCCGACGAAGGCTCCTTCTCGGGAAACCCCACGGAGCAGCAGCGGAGCCGCAGACGGCGGCAGCCCCCGGCAGCCCAGTGTGTGCCGAGGTCCCCTTTGCAGAGCCGCCTGTCGGCTCCTCTCAGAACGCCGTCCCCGCTTGCCCGCCCATGGACACATCACCGCCTGGAGGGAGGACTGCCACCCTCTCTTAGCAGGTAGTTGGATGGTTTGGAATCGTGTGTCACACACCCCTGCTGGCACCTTCTCCCCACCCAACAGGACATTCCAGTGCGGGAGACAACGAGGAAGGATGGTCATAACAGAAAAGCAAACGACAGAGGACACTAGAAGATCATCTGCTGTGAGAAAGTGTTTGAAGAGTAAAGAGAGGCCCAGAGCACCGCAGAGTCAAAACAGGGAAGAGGTGAGACCGGACCAAAGGATGGAGATGGGGCGGGAGCGTGCCCACGCAGGCTAGACGAGAGCTTCCCGGTGCAGGGCGCACAGGCTGGAGATGGGGCGGGAGCGTGCCCACGCAGGCTAGACGAGAGCTTCCCAGTGCAGGGCGCACAGGCGAAGGCCCTGGGTCTGTGAGAGGCTGCAGGAGACGGGCAGGAGTGGGCCTCGAGTCAGGTGAGCTGAGGAAGGGCCAGGAGTCAGAGAGGAGGGCGCTGGCCGTGGCCAGATGGAGGAGGGGTCGGAGGCCACAGGGCTTCACGGGCCACCTTAGCATACTTGGCCTTCGTCCGAGTGGGGCTGGGAGCCACGGCAGGGCTCGGAGCAGGGGAATGGCAAGGCTGACTCCGTGCTGACCGAGCTGCTGTGTCCAGGAGGTCTCCGCAGCGGGTCTATGCGAGGGCGTAGTGGACCGCTGCCATCTTCCTGTCCTCACATGGCCGTCCCTCCGCACGTCTGTGTCCGGGTGTCCTCCTATAAGGACAACAGTCAGAGTACTGACCACAGGGGAAATGCCTATCAAAATCACCGTGAGACACCACCTCACACCTGCCGGGCTGCCTAGGACCCAAAGGACAAATGTCAGCCCGGATGTGGGGAGAGTGGGACTTCATATCGAGTCTGGGGGTGGCCACTTTGGAGAGTGGTCTGGCAGTTCTTCAAGATCAGACAGAGTGGCCTAAGGCCCAGCAAGTGGTCTCCACTCTCAGGTGGAGACCCAAGAGAAATGAAAACGTGTCCACTCGGGAACGACTGCACGGACGTCTGAGTGGCTTTCCTCATAGCTGCCAGTAAGCGGGACAACCTGAGTGTCTGGCCGAGAATGAACGGGTCAAGGACGTGGGCTCTTCACAGCAGGGACTATTGTCGGCCACACACACTAAAAGAAGGAAGCCCTGGCTGCTTTGGCTCAGCAGTTAGAGCATCGGCCTGCGGACCAAAGAGTCTCAGGTTTGATTCCCGGTCAAGGGCACGGACCTCGATTGCAGTTTCCATCCCAGGTCCCGGTCAGGGTCCTACAGGAGCAACCAATCTCTCTCTTTCTCCCTCCCTCCCTCCTTCCCACTCTAGCTAAAAAAATCAATAAAAAAAATATTGTCAGGTGGGGATTTAAAAAAAAGAGAATGAAACACTGATACATCCTACAACATGGGTGAACCTGAGAAAGAGAAACATGCTCAATGGAAGGAGCCAGTCACAAAGACCACCTGCTGTATGATGTGTGTACACAACGCCCGGAGCGAAGTTCTGTGGAGAGGGCGCAGCCAGGGAATGGGGTGCCTGCCGATGGGCACAGGGCTGCTCTGTGATGTCCTAAGACTGTGGTGACAGTCCCACGACCTTGTGAGTACACTGCACACCACTGAATCGCACACTTTAATAAAGAAATCAGGGGTGCCAATTCTATCTCAATAAAGCTATTATTTTTCAAAAGACTAATCTGAAGTTTCCAAAGAACAGATGGGTAAAATGTTTGAAAATTGATACTCGTTTTTAATGGTAACAGTTCTTACAATGGGATACTGTGGCAAGAATGTATCTTTTTTTTTAAAGTTAAAGCTTTCACCATGTTTGCTCCACTTTCCTCCCTTCCCAGTCTCCCCGCCAGCTCCTCCTTCCCCTTCAGCCTCCTCTGAGGGTCCCAGAAAGCAGCAACTCAGGGTCCGAGGGCGCAAGGGCGCGGGGCTCAGACGACGGGCGGGCCGGGGCGGCGCAGTGACCTCAGGGCGTGTGCAAACACCGCCCTCCGCGGCCACCGATAGGTCCCACCCCACCTTGGCGACCTGCGGGCCGGGGGCGGGGAGAGGCGGCGCCAGAGGCTGCGCGCACTGCCCGGGCGCCGCCGGGGAGGCCAGGGAGCTCCGGGAGGCGGGAGCGCGGGATGTGGGCGCCTGGCGGCCCGCCGGGGCCCGCGGGCTGGGACCGCCGCAGGGTGGGCGCCCGGCTGCTCGCGGCCTTCGCGGGGCTGCAGGAGCTGCAAGGGCTGCGCGCCAGGCAGCAGGCGCGCGTGCGGGGCGCTCTGGCCATGCAGCCCCCACCCGCGCCCGCCGCCCCCCGCGGGCCCCGCGCCCACGAGCTGCGGCTGGAGGCGGCGCTGGCGGCGCTGCAGGAGCAACTGGTAAGGAGCGCGCGCAGGATCTTGGGGCCGCGGGGCCCGTCCGGGTGCAGGCGGCCGTCCCGCTGACCGAGGGACGTCCTTTGGGGTTTGGGTTCCAAATAAGTGGGACGCGGAGTCCCGAGTTGCAGGGGGACCCTCCGATCCTGAAAGAAGCCGGGACGTACCGCGCTGAGCCCGCACGGGCTCTGCTCCTTCCTGGCGGCCAGACGGGGACGCATTCCCCTGGGTTTGATCCCAAGCTCTCCGAATGAGAATGCACTGGATCGGTGTCTGCGGTGGGGCTGCGGGGCTGCCTGGGGTCAGGCTCGGTACCGGCCTCTCCCTGCTGCAGGTTCCGGGACAGCAGTGCAGGCTGCGGAGCGCACCCCAAGGTCCCCCGAATGTGCTGAGGTTGAGTGAGGTCGTGTCATTGTAACAAAGATCGGGGACAGCTCGGTCTGGGGAGGCCCCTGACCTGCAGAAAGAGGTGTGTTCACCCGAGTTGTCCCAGACCCTGGAGCCTCCACCTTCGTGCCCAGCGTCCTCTCCAGAGAGCCCTCCCCAAGGCGGGTCCCCTCTGTGGCTGGAAGCCGCTGGGTGGTCCTCTGCTGGCCGCTGTCTGGCCTCATCCCGGGTACCGGGAACAGCTCAGGGTGGTCGGCGGCGCAGCGTTGGTCAAGGACAGGCGGCAAGGCTCCATAGGAAAGGTTTCTATAATGGACTTAACTCTGTTGCTCAAAGTGGGTTTTTTATTAGAAATTCAATCCCGCCCTGTTTAAACGTTGCTGTCTTTACAGAGTAGCCCCAGGAAGCTACCTGCGTGCTCTTGGCTTAGCTCATGACTGAGGTGTGAACTGCCCTGGATTGGAGGAGCGGAAAGGCCTTGGCCTGGCCTCCAGGGCCGGTGGTGGTCCCTCCCTGAGACCTCAGGCTCTGTGCTTCAGCGGCTGCTGGGGGGGGGTGGGGTTCACTGAGCGGAGCCCACACCTGTCCTGCCCCCAGTGTAGCCGCTGTGGCAGGGTGCTCGGCTGTTTGCTCCCGGACACGACTTCCCCGGTGTGAGCTCAGCGCGCACAGTAGCCCACGGAGGTGGGCGCCGGGAGCGCAGGCGGAAGGGGCCGTGGAAGGGGCTGCGGGCACGGCCCTGATTGTTCTGTCCAAGGGGTAGGAACGGGTTGATGATTAACTTGGCTCAGTAACAGATCAGACCTTGGCGTGCGCAGCCTCTAATTACTAGTAGCCTTTGGGAAGAGAAGATCAAACAGGTTCTTTTGTTTAAATTTTTTTTAATGTGGGGACCAGAAGGAACACGCAGACTTTGTCTTGAAACTTGGTTCTCGGAGCGGATTATGTGATCAAAAGAGAAGAATTGAATGTGTGAGACGTCAGCTCTGCACTTAACACCTCTGTTTTCCTCAAGGGAAAAAATCAGGAGTGTCCCCAGCTCAGTGATGCAGGGTACAGTCAGAGCCGGTCCTCCTGCCCCCGCCGGCCACACCTCAGAACCCAGTACCCCTCCCCCGCCCACCTGGCCAGGGTCGCATTCAGGTGTGAAGCAGGCCCAGTGTATCTGACCACAGCATCCGTCTCCTGGGCCTGAGAGCAGCTGCCCTCATAGTCACACTTACCAGATGACCGCATCCCAAATCCCAGCAGTGCCCGGCAGGCCGTCCCCGGTGTGCATGGACGGTGAGCCACTGGGTGCTGTAACGAGAGGTGATTTCCGTGTTCATCGCCTCCCTGTGGTCCACCTCCCAGCGAATGAAGCCCCAGACCTCTGACCCCAGCCGTCCCTGCTGTCTGGGCAGCCCTGAGCTAGCCTGCTCTGTCTTCAGGGAGGTTGGTCAGCCCCGGCCCTGGGGGCTGCCATCCCCTTTCCTGATGTGGAAAGACTTGGATGCCCAGGTGGCTGGAGGCTCCATCTCCCACCAGGAGGCGCTGCCCTGAGGTGGGAGGTGGAGACATGGGCCCGGCGGTGAGATCTCACGCCGAAGAATTTCCCGGTGGTTGACTTTGCTGGTTGTGACTTGTCCTCGGAGTGTCACGGGCGGTCACACCAGCTACAGTGTAAACACCACACCTGGATTTTCCGTGGACTGAGTGCTGGCTTCCTGAGCCCTGGGGGAAGGAGCTGGCTCAAGGTCCCCAGCGAGGCGGCCGCAGGACCCTGAGGGCTTCTGTCTCCCTGAGGCTAACCTGTGACCCCAGCCAAGTGAGGGAGGAGGTTGGCCCACCGCAGGGCACCTGCCCAGAGCCCGGGCTTCAGGCGTGAAGTGTTGCCCTTCACGCTCTCAGCTTTCAAGGGAAGAAATGCGGTGTCTTAGACGCCATCTCCGATCCAGAGTGATCCTGAACATTGGGGCATTTCCCACTTTTGTCCGGGGAATCTGCCCTACGGGTCGGGGGAGGCTGGCACGCAGCCCGTGGAAGGCGCCGTTCTCATCTGGCGTGACGTGGCCCTTTCAGGACGGGGAGCCCAGGTGTCTCTTCACCCACAGTCCCCGGACAGGCCTTTTCTGACTTGTGGTTTGTGGTCCCTGGGCAGCTTGTGAAAACGCAGGTTCCAGGCCCTAGAGTCCCAGTCGGTGGGCATGGCAGGGAGCCCGGGAACCTGCACTGTGCCCGGTGATCCCGCACCCTGCGGAGCTGCGGCTGTGCCCTCTGTCATCCGGGCGCTGCGGCTGTGAGCCTGCGGTGTGGGGAGGGGACCTGGCCCCCAGCTTGCTCTCTGCCCTGGAGGGAACCAGTGTCTCTGACAGTCACCTGGGCTCAGCGGCCTCTGGCTGGCCCTGTGAGGGTGACGCTCTGTCCCGGTCACTATTATTCTCACCAAGTCAGACATCTAGGTGACAGTGGAAAGCAGAGACATTGAAACCCCGAGTGAGGACGGGAAGGGTTGATGAGGACAGTGGAAACCACAGCGTGAAGCCCTGTGTGGCCGACGGGTCCTGCGGGGACCCGAGCGCTGTGCGTGACCTCTGCACGTCCGTCAGAGACTGCCCGAAGGCCTGGCTGGTGTACATCCATCAGGGCGGGTCCCAGCACGAGCCCAGAGCGACCCCTGTTTGGAGGGGGATTGGAGAGGGAGGGAGAAGGGAAGCCAGCAGGGGTCCCGGGAGGCTCTCCCTCGAGGACAGGTCACTGCCTTGTCTCAGACTGAGGTGTGGCCAACTCCGGGCCTGAGTGGGCCCTCGGTACCAGGCTCCTGCTCTGTGACATTTGTGGTCGAGCCACGCTGGCCCTCAGTGAGAGTCCAAGGGACTCCCAGGACGGTCGCCAGCGGCAGCCTTGTCCCCACGCCGCCGGCTCCGGCTCGGCCCGCGCCTGGGAAGGCCTCCCAGGCAGCACGTTCCAGGCGAGAAGCAGGACTTGGCCAGTCCTGCGGTTCCGGAGCAGAGGGTCTCTGCCCGAGCTCAGGGGTGGCGTTGGCCACGTTATGTCCGCAGATCACGTTAGGGCTTCCAGACTCGCTGTCAAACAGGGAGGTGGCGCTGAGGAACTTGGGCCTGGGCGCCATCTCTCGGGCTGTGTGTGGGCCCTGGGCTGCCCGGGCCTCCCTCGGGGCTCGTCAGACACGACGCCCCCTCGTCCTCCGAAATGGCTGCCACCTGCCTCTCTGGCCCGAGTTCTCACGGTCATGAAATTACTGAAGTAATTTTCCTGAGTCCTGTAATTTGGGGCTCAGGGGATTTCCTATATAAAAATTTGAAATACAATTAATCATTTTCTTAAACAGGACCAACCACATAATTACATTCGTTAATTATTTTCCTTAAACTTAATTGTTAATCACAACAAGAAATGCATGCAGCGGACCTTGAAGGCAGGTGAGGTTTTGCAGTTGAAAGGAGGAAGTCAGCGGTTAGCACACCCAGCGCGAGCGGTTCGCATGCACTAGCCGGTCGTGTGTACGTGTGAGTGTGTGGCAAGCCTAACCGCATGCATGTGTCGTGTGTTATACAGTATATACACAGTGCGCATTCTATGTATGCATCATACTCATGTATGTATTGTATGTGTATTATACAGTGTACACAGCTGTGTGTGCACGTGAATGGACTGTGAGCACTAATCAGAGGCAAGTATTACATGTTATACGATATATACCACAAGCATTCTATAATATAAACACATGTGTTGCATGTATATCATATACTATATACATGTGTGTGTATTGCATGGACATTATATGATGCATAATATGCGCACCTGTGTACTGTGTGTATGTTATATAATACACATATAGGCACTATGTGTATATTATATAATGTACTATATGTATAATATGCACCCATGTACTGCATGTATATTGTATAATATGCACACATGTGTACTATGTTATATAATGCACTGTATGTGTAATGCACACATGTGTACTATATGTATATTCCATAACATTCACATGTGTACTATATGCATATTATGTGATACACACAGTGTGTGGTTAATGCCCACAAAGACCCACCCAGTGCACAGCTGAGAAGTGAGGCCTGGAGACACAGAGCCTCCAGGACAGAGCTGAGCTGTGCACCGCGGAACCTGGGGTCCTCGGGCAGGTCTCGGGCTGCATGTTTGCGGCAGAGCTGAGCTGGGCACCGCGGAAACTGGGGTCCTCAAGCAGGTCTCGGGCTGCATGTTTGCGGCAGAGCTGAGCTGGGCACCGTGGAACCCGGGGTCCTCGGGCAGGTCTCAGGCTGCGTGTTTGCGGCAGAGCTGAGCTGGGCACCGCGGAACCCGGGGTCCTCGGGCAGGTCTCGGGCTGCGTGTTTGTGGCAGAGCCAGCACCATCCTGTCTGGCAGAGTCCCCTCCTCCCCCACAAGAGCCTACAGACCTGTGACAGTCCAATATGGGGGTGAGACTCTGCAGAAAGGGGCCCTTTTCCTCCCCTGGAGACTTTCCATTGCCTTGAAGTCGGTCAGCGCCCAGGTGCCAGGGACCAGGGCCTGCATTGTGACAAGCACTGAACACGGGTGCTGAGCACTGGCCCTGTTCTGCAGGAGCTCGGGGAGGAACGTCCTTGCAGAGAAATAGAGACAGAGGGGAAATACCGCGTGCACACCTGCCGCGGGAAGGTTCTGTGCTGCCCGATCCTGAGTGCCCTCCTGGCGTACTGCTCCACGTCCTATGAGAAGTATCCAGTGGAAATTGCTGATGAAAAGTCTACAGTTGAGAGGAAACCTCCTGGGAGCGGGAGGGATCAGCAGACTTCGTTCCCATGAACAGGGCCGGACTGCTGCTCATGGTGAGGAGCTGTCGCTCAGGGGCCGCAGGGTTTAACTGTGTGCACAAAGGTGTGGCACATGGAGGCCTGGTGTCTGCTTCTTCCCTGTCTAGAGCCAGTTAAGATGCCAGGATGTCGGCCTGAAAACCCACTTGGACCAACTGGACCAGCAGATCAGTGAGCTGCAGCTGGGCGTGCGCAGGACATCCACCGAGGGCCAGGACAACGACAGCCGGCCCAGTTCAGGTACACACAGACACACATGTATATATACACATGCACACATACAAACATATCAGTGCATGCACACACACCTAAACAATATACACATTACATGTATGCATACACATGTACACACCACACACAGACACAGGCATATGCATATACACGCTTGTATGCACACACACATGCATCCTCACACAAACATGTTTGTGTACACACATGTGCTGCATACGCGTGTGTGCACACATGCATATACACTACACACAGGAATACCCTTGTATACATGCACACATGCCTCGTATGTGCACATGCACACATACACCCATACCACACATATACACACATCATACACACCCATGTACACACGGCACCTAAACCCATACATACACCATACAGATATATACACACTTATACCCATGTACATGCACTCAGACACACATGCACAGCACACACGCATGTAGACATACTTCACAGACACGACACACACCACACACCTGCACTGACCATCCCCGTCTGCTCCGTCTAGGCTTCTACGAGCTGAGTGATGGCGGCTCCTGCTCCCTGTCCACCTCCCGCACCTCCATGTGCAGTGACCACCTGTCCTCCTCCCTGGGCACTTTGCTGCCCGCCACCCCCATGGCCAGGACCGGGGCAGGGGACTGCCGGCCCTGGTCAGCCGATGAAACCACCATGTGTGGGGCCCCCCTGTCCACGTGGGGACTCCAGGCTACTGAGGACGGTGCAGGCCAGACCCTACAGAGCATGTCCCGCCCCAGACCGGTGTCCACAGGTAACAGAGAGCCGGGAAGGGTGGGCGGGCCCACCCCAGGCAGTGGGGACAGCTGTGGACGTGGCCCCCGGCCCATCCCAGTGGTGGGGTCCTGGGTGCAGCGAGGAGCCCCTGAGTGGTGTGGCTCCCGGCCCCACATTTCCTGCAGACTCCAGTCCCACTGTGCTCGTGACAGCAGGGCTGCTGTAATAAAAAGCATGTCTTCCTATTTAAAACGAACAGCAGAACGTTGTCGGGAGCATCCTTCCAAACCCCTCACATGGCCCGCCTGGCGTCCGTGGCAGTGGGGGACACGCGCACACAGTGGGCCTGGGGAGTCCGGCTCACCCGTGGGCTCCTCTCCCGGCCCACAAGGACCTGCCCTGGATGCGTTTCATTTCCTACACGAGACCCGGTTCAGTGCGACCATTTGGACTGTCCTTGGCGATGTCCCCACAGTGTCCCCGGGTCCTCAGGGAAGGCCTGTCCCGAGGCAGCTCGTGGTCACACGTGCCTGTCTTTCTGGACCCTCGGATCTGAGCGGACACATCTGGAGTCCAGGATTTACTCCTAAGCCGCCACTGTGACGGAAGCTGGTGCGTGGGCCTCCGAGCTGTGCGCCAGGTCGCGCTGGGGTCCACCCGGATGGGGACCTGTGCCGTGAGGGCGCAGCCGTGCAGCTGGACGACACTGTCAGGTTCTTCCCTTATGTCTGTATTTGTTCACTTTCTCGTTCCCAGGTGCTCTTGAAAGAGTCCTGCCGGCTCAGCTGGGGCTGCCAACAGCCAGTCCAGACACCACGTCCCTTCTCCGCCACGGGCCGGGCCTCCTGCCCCACCCGCTGGACCCCAAGTACCAGCGTGACCTGGTGTCCAGGGGGGGCAGGGAGGTGTACCTGTACCCCAGCCCCCTGCACGCCGTGGCTCTGCAGAGCCCCCTCTTTGCCCTGACCAAGGAGACGCCACCAAGCGACCGCACCCCACCGCCCCGTACGGAGTCCCTTCCTGGCCCCTCAGGCTCAATCTGGAGAGGACCAACCCCTGAGGCCGGCCCGCCCCGAGCCTATATAGACAGGCTGCTTGGACTGCGGAGCCAAAGAAACCCCCCAAAAGGCATTATGGGGGAGCAGGGACCCCCTGGATGTGAAGTGTCCCCACCCCAGAGAATGGAAGCTGAAAGTCACCCAGAGGGGCTGACCTGCACCACAAGAAGAACACACACAGGAGGTGGGGCTCAGAGGAGGGACCCAGGTGGGAACAGCCTTGAGCAGTGGGGACCTGCACCCCTTATGAGCCCCCCGCACCTCAGCAGCCTTGCAGAGGAGGGACAGAAACCCTCCAGTAGCCGTGCCTGTGTGGGGACCATTCTGGGCTCCCCATGGCAGGTGTTTGGGTCCCAGGCTCAGCAGGCCACTCCCGACAGCTGGGAGGGCAAAGCCAGGTCACCGGCCAGGACGGGCCCCGGGCCCCATGACCACCCCCCCTCGGTCACCAATGGGGCTGCCCCAGTGGGACTGCAAATGGGCCAGAAAGTCGGCCGTCCTGCGACAAAGGCCGTGAAGACCAGGAGGGAGACCAGTGACAAGGCCCTAAGGTCGGGGAGGCAGCCGCCACCCTGGGGCGCCCTCATAGCACCCCACCTGCCGCCTGCATGGGGCGCTGGACTCAGGAGGAGGCCCCCGCAGGCCAGGGAGGCTCCCAGTCGGTCCTGCTCCGAGTCCAGCCTCTACCCCGTGCCCTTCCTCGTCCCCCTGCTGGTGGCCCGCCGGGAAGGCCGTGGGGCACCTGCGCAGGCCTGGCTCCCCGTGGAAGCAGCCCCCGCAGGGGAGGCGGGGAGGAGGCAGCGCCGGTGGCAGTCTTCTGTGGAGATCTCAGCCCGGGGCCGCCTGGCTGGGGCCCAGGGCCCGGGTCTGGGGCCCCCAAGGCCAGCAACACGGAGAGGGGGTGCCCCGCGGCCTGCGTGCCCCCGGGCCAGGGCCAGGCTTTCCTGCCTGGGCCCCCAGGCCAGAAGCGAGTCAGGGGGCTCCGAGCACTCGGCCGAGGGCGCCCCCCTGTTCCACTCCACCATCGCTGAGACCAGCGAGGACGAGGCCAGTGACCACACCGCCAACCGCTTCGGGGACAGGGAGTCCAGCGGCAGTGACAAGGAGGGCAGTGTCCAGGGCGCAGGGAGCCACCCGGCCTGGCCTGGGGCGCCCGCCGGCTCCCGGCCGCCCCTGCCCCCGGCGCCCAGACTGTGCCGAGTCAAAGCCTCCAGGGCCCTGAAGAAGAGGATCCGCCGCTTCCAGCCGGCCGCCCTGAAGGTCATGACCCTGGTGTGAGCTGCAGGGCACTGGCTCGGCCCCAGGCCAGGCACAGTGACTGGCCCACGTTCCAGGAGAAGCCATCCTCCCAAGGAACCTGGGGGTGGGGGTGACAGGCACCTCGGGCCCTCCCAGGGCTGAGGACAAAATCCCACCTATTCGCCTGTTTCACGCGCGGACACGGGTTCTCCTGGGTGGTCGCCAGTTTGTTCTCCGGGGCCGCGGCTGGAAAAGTCGCCATCATCTCGGGAGGGACGGGGAAGGAGAGGAGCCCTGGGTAGGCCTTGGAGTCCCTGTGCCTCAGGCGCCTTCCCCACTCTGTGCAGACATCCCCAGAGAACCCCAAGATGTGGGGTCCCCCCAGTGCCCTGCGGACCTGCAGAGACTCCCCGTCAGACTCCTGGGGCCTGTGTCATCGGGGGTGGTCACCTCTGTCCTCACCCAGTCCCTGCAAACAGCCCTCAGGGCACGGTGGCCCGAGAGCCCTCACACGGATGACCACGCCGACGACGCCACTGTCTCCCTGTGCCCACCGGGCTCCGCCGCCCTGCTGGGCGCGGGGCAGGGGCTCGGGAACCTCATCCTCCCTCCTGTGGGCGCAGCTCCTGAGAGCACAGCCCCGACTCTGGCTTCATGACACTTCAATGGAGCATAAACACGTTTTGAAAAACTGATGTTTGCGGGTGTTCATTTGTCGAGGAAAAGGTCCAACCACTTTTCCAGGGGAAAGAGGATTTTCAGGGAGGAGCCTGCCCAGCGGCTTGTCGTGAGGGACCCAAAGCTCGTCCCCGAGGGGCTGGAGGCCCGAAGAGAAGGGGGCGTTGCTCCCGGGCCCTCGGTCGGGGGTCTGGACCCCTCGATCCTGCCCCCAGGAACTTTTGAAGGAAGATCGAGAAAAACAGCCAAAAGACAGATTACAGGCATTCACGGCCGTGCCGGGCATCAGATGTCCACGCAGGCTCAGGGTCAGTGAAGGAGACGGACGTTTGGAAAAGCCGTTCACGCTTTAGCACTGAGAACTGACCTGTGCAGGCTGAGGTTTCTGAGAGTGCAGCCAGGGCTGGGGCTGCTTGCTGTGACCCTCAAACCCGCAGCCGTTTCAGAGGGTCCGGGGCTGGCTGACACTCGAGTGTCCCCCGCGTGCGTCTGGGTGGGCTCCCTGTGCTCACGGCAGAGGGAAGGGGTCTCCTAAGCTTTTTCAAGGCTCGTTGCTATTTAAAGAAAACTGGAACCCACCTCGACGGGGTTTTATTGTGAAGATGTTACGCAGCATACTTGATAGGGACGGTCTAGTTCTGACCATGTCGCGTGGCAGGTGATGGAACCTGACGCGCCAGGGCTGCTGGGCAGGTGAGGCTCCTGAGACAGGCTGCGGAGCAGGGCCCTCAGCTGGGTCCCTCAGCAGCCCTTCTGGAGAAATGGCCTGAGACCCATCTCCCTCCGTGGTCGGGCGTCCTGCCCTGGGTGCTCACCCGGCAGGGGCTTGGACGCAGTGGGCAAGTGCTCGTGCGGCAGGACGGAGCCCAGGCTGTGCCGCTCGCGCGATCCCGTGGTGTCCCCGAGCGAGGGGATGCAGTGGGCTGGGCCCCGGGGTTTCTGACTCTGCGTCTTTCTCGGAAGCCAGGCTCCATTTCCTGATGATTCGGGTTCCGAAGTGCAGCCAGGGGGGAACGCGGCCCAGCCCCGGGAACCCTGTGCAACAGCAGACCACCAAGCAAACTGACCGAGAAAACTGACCAAGCAAACCAACCGAGAAAACGGACTAAGACAACTAACCGAGAACTGACCGAGCCAACTAACCCAGAAAACTGACCGAGACAACTAACCGAGAAAACTGACCGAGCCAAGCAGCCCATAAACCACGCACACTCCCCACAGTGCAGCAGAGTCGTCTCAAAACAAGTGCCTCAGTGAGATGACATCTGGTCCGTCATCAGCTTCCCTCTCTCCCTTCCTCCCCCTATTCTCTGTCTCTGCCCACCCCCAAGCCCCTCTGGAGGCCCAACCACCTGCTGGCTAGCTCTGCCTTGCTTTTGCTCCCCCGGCAGGTTTGGGGTACATCATAGGCTAACCCTCCACCCCACTCCTTCCATCCGCCTGGGGCCTGGGGCCTTCGCTTCCCCAGTAATCCATCAGGGGACACGGCCCCGGTCCAGGCTCACTGGGCCGTCCGCAATTCCAGGCCTCAGGCTAACATCCTCACTCTTGTAAAACCTCAGGCTTCGGCATGAGGATCAAATTGACCAAGTTGAAGTCTGGGCCGCAGCATCCGGTCGGATCTCGGCACGTGGCTCTCGTAGGTCCTCCGTGCGGACCAAGGACTCTGTCTAGGTGGACGGGGACCGGTCCGCTGGAAGGGACCCGGCTGCTGTCAGCAGGTCCCCTGTAGGAATCACGGACACGGTGGCCCGCTGCCATGAGAAGGAGGAGGTACCGTTCAGAAGGTTGTTTCGTGGTTGATTCAGAAGTTCAGAGTCCATGAGTGGGGCGTGGATGAGGCTGCGTTGGGGTCCCCTGGACCAGTGACTCTCGGCAGGTTTCATCCGCAGCCGGGTGCAGAAATTAGGGCTAACTGGACAGTCCGAATCAAACCGTGTATTTGCCTGAGGGTTCCACGTTCTCAGCACATTCTTTCCCTGAACAGACGTGGTCACCGCTGAGAGTGAGGGTACAGCAGGGAGCTCCCCGGGCTGGAGGTGGCCTGGAACCCGGGGGCGTTGGCGGGTGACGGCCACCGAGCGCCCCCGAGTCAGACGAACCTGCCTCATTCCCGAAGCCTGCACGGAGGACAGCTTACAGGTGGACTCTCTGGATCTTTAGAAATCATTCGTAATTTCCAGCATGATCGAAACACGAATACTTTAGGGAATAAAAAGAACACGAGAATGATGAGTTAGTTGTTTTCAAGTTCCAGAGTCAAGCCAGGGTAGAGATCAAACGTATGAGAACTTCTAATAAGAAAGGGGGAAAAGTTTGATTATCATGTCAGAAAAAACAACCCAGTGTATTTTAGCAAATGATATCGTATCACTTAAGAAAACAAAGTGTTTATCTTCCTGAATGTTTGTGTCCCCCCCAAATCCATATGCTGGGCCCCCGCACCCCGCCATGATTATGTTTGCGGGTGGGGCCTTGGGAGGAGAAGGGGTGAGGTGAGGTCGTGAGGGGGGGTGGGGCCCTGTGACCGCAGAACCCGGGCAGCCCTAGAAGCCGGAGGGGAGGCCTCAGCGTGAAGCCCCCTGAGGCCCCGTGAGCCCCGCTCCGGCTGCAGAGCCATGGAAATCGGCCGGCGTGTGTCCAAGCGCGTCTGTGGGCTCTGCACAGAGTGGGAAGTGGGGAGTAACGCTCAGGGTGTGGGAGACATGGCCCCGTCCACGCACTCAGCCCCGCACTGGGCACCTCCTCTTTACAGGGGCGGAGGGGAAGCCGGGGTGTCCGCGTCAGGGAGCTTCCCCGGCTGGAGAAAACGCAACAAGCCAGGACCCCGACCGCCCTGAGGAGGCTGGGTCCCCGGCAGCGGGCTGGGTGCGGACGGCGGAGGCAGGCGAGGGGACCGCGGAGGAGGGAACCCAACGGGTGGACGGGCACTGAGTGTAGCGGGGGCAGGGAGGGGGCGAGAGGGTGGGGGAGAGGAGGCCCCTGGCAGGGACTGTGGAGGGACACAGCAGGGGCCAGGGGCTGACAGGCCCTGGGTGAAGCCACGTCCCCGAGATGTGGAGAAGACAGCCAGGTGTGGAAACAAACAAAGGCCACCACGAGGACAGGCTCAGGGCTCACTCCCGGCTTTGTACTAGGGGGTCATTCAGAGGCCCAGGTGGGCAGGCGGGGGGCTTCCGACTGGAGAAGGAGTGCGGTCCCCGAGGAGGCCTGGGGATGGGGTGCGGTCCCTGCAGTGGGCTCTGTTGTGGGTGGTGAGGGGAGCACTGGGGTGTCTCCAGCTGGTTCTGAGTTGACAGCAGGGACAGAAAATATGTGATCAGGTCCTGGCTGGTGGGGCTCAGAGTCAGGAAGTTCCTGCACCTCCAGGACGGTCACTCAGGGCAGCTGGCCTCCTGGGGTGCTGACTGTGGATGCGAAGTGGTGTCCTGGGCAGGTCCAGGCCATCACCGTGTGTCCGGTCAGCCTTGGGTGGAGACGCTGTCACCCAGGGTCCCGAGACGGGACTGAGAAGCAGGCAGGGCCTGGCAGGCGGCTGTTTCAAGGTGAGGGGCTGTGGGGGACAGACACTGGCCCCGCACGCCCAGGGTGGTCCTGTGGCCGCAGTCTCCAGAAGGTCCCCGAGCAGCTGTGAGAGAACGGAGGACCCCTGGAGCCCCGCGGTCTCGCTCGTGCGCCCCACTAAGGAGCGGCCGCTCTCCTTGCAGGAAGAACATGTCCTCGTTCGCAGGAAGGACGTCCTTGCAGAGATGAGACCGTCCTCGTCACGGTCTTCATTTCCATATTTCCGTTTGCGTTCCATTTTTATGTTTGTTCTGTTCCTTTTCATTCATTTTGTTTCCACGTTCACCATCTCGTTCCGTCACGGTCTCCTCGCCAATGGCAAACAGGCACTGACGGGGCTCTGTCACCCCACTTTGGGGTGGGCGTTGGGACACCCATCGGGTCCTGGGACACAGGCCCCCTGGGCTGCCCCGTGGAGGGGACAGCGGTGCGGTCTGGCCCTCTCTCCTGCAGCTTCCCACAGCCAGGCTCACCGCGGCTGCACGCCAGGCTCATGTCCACACGGACGGACGCGGCGGAGAGGAGGGCGTGGAGTTCGAGGGCTGGCGGAGCGGCAGAGCCCAGGGGGCACCGCCCGCAATGCCCACGATGCCCGCGGTGATCGGGAAAGCAGGTTGTCCTGATCCCTCTGGGAGAAGCCACCAGGCCGTCCGTGCAGACCACGTCGGTTCTGACCCGAGTGATGCTCAGCTCTGGTAGCAGCGAGCACGCGGGCTGACCCTCAGCCGCCAGGCCAGGGTTTCCGCCCTCGCCCAGAGAGGTCTGGTGTGGCCTGGTCACCGGGAGCAGGAAGGGACACTCGGCCCCTTTGAAGCCGCTTTGAAGTCCCGGGTGCCAGGCGTGGAAA